TTATTAAAGTCGTAATAACCCTATACACAATATAGAAAGCACAAAACAAATTGGTCTGCTCCTAGTTATTGGAGCAGAAATGGGTCTGCTCCTAGGAATTTGGTCCTCAGGTATTGTTTTGTGGCTATGACCCAGGCAAAATTTAAGAAAAATTAAGCAAAATTTATGTCACTGTCCTCTCAAAAAATTTCCACAGAACTTCAATTGTTCACAGCAGCATACCACTTTCTGATAAAGCCATGAATTTCAAAAGTTCTACTGTACTCCCATAGATTTGACTTAGCTTCATTTTCTGCTACTATTATGAGTGCTTTTTCAGTTCCATGAGGTCCATTACTCTCATTTTCCATAACCTTGGCTTAAATACAAAGTTACCAGCACTAAGGTAAGTCCTGGCTTTTCAGTATTAATGCTGTGATTAACTCAGCAGAAATCCATCTATAGCACATCAAGGTCTAAGTGGACTCAGTTTTCTTGGTGAAAGATGGAATTTTTTAGGTGTAGTGGATGTAGATGAACATAGCATTTTTTTGTTCCATTTAGTAATGAAATGTTAGTTACATTGTTCTCAGCCTTGTGTCAGGAAATGTACATGTTCATATGACAGAGTGTTACTTGAAAGGTCTTTTAAAATATGAGAAGCAGCTGTCAGTGAAGAATGTGACTATGCCACAAAGAATGAAGAAATGGTGGAGGCTTTGTATGGGTAAAGAATGTTGAGGAGCTAATGCCTGTTAAGACCGGATGCTATGAAAAGGGATGTGATGTGACCAGCATGGGAATCTGCTGGTTATGTACCTTCCTAAAGCACATTTTGCCATCAGTGCATTCCTTCTGTGGCTGTGATGTTAATTCCTGTCAGAGGGTCCTGGTGATGCATGCTTAACTTAGTGCGAAATTTTCCTGTGGATGTAGATGAGTTCATTGGGGCTGAATAATTTTTATCTTCCTGTAGCTGCAAGACTGTACCAGCCTTTGTGTGTGGAAAGTGAATCTCCATTGTTTTTCCTTGAAATAAATACACAATTTTCCTTGCTTTTGCAATCTTCATGCTAGACATGATTTTAGATATAAAATGAGGATAAAAATTCATCTGTAATTATATGATCTTATTTGGCATCTAACTCTTGGAAAATAAATCAGTGATTTAATTTCCTTTCAAAGTCTTTGTCTATCAGATACAGAACAAGCTTAGTAATTACCTCTTAGTTATTGTGAGATCTCTGCCTTCAGTATTACATTTCTAATTGTTTTTAGCTAAGGAAATTTATTTCTATAGATCACTCAACTGACTATTGCAGGCTGGTATTTCTCTATTGTTTTCAGTGGAGACAGCAAAGTCTAATGTTAAAAGAAATTCGTATTGTCGTTCTGCTACATACAATAGGATGCATAAAAAGTACTTGCCCAAGTACACAATATATTTTCATTTTATATGAGACAATTTAGTCAAAAATAAACATATTTGATAAATATTCACAGAGCACCCCACTAGAGATCAGTAGCATGCCTGAAATGTCCAAGAGCTTCATCATCAAACTAAAATCAGTTTCATATTATAACTGTGGGTGAGACAAACCCATCCTTTGTGTGGAAATATCATGTTTATTGTCCAGTCAATTGTGCAGGTATAATCTGTATGTTTTCAACCACTAATTCACAGGTCCCTTGTTGGGGAAATTTTGTAGCATGCCTTGAGCTGAGTTAAACATAAGTTTGTGCTTAAATAGAGGAGATTTAATGTGAAGTGCATTGGACAGTCTTATCACCATCAGCTGTTCCACTTAGAGCATGCAGAGGCACAGCAGGAATGTACACATTCAGTGGTACCAATACCATGAACATCAGCCTGATATTGTATCCATTCTCCATCCCAGCTCGGCTGCCCAAAGGTGGTGTCTGGCCTTTGAGTGCTCAAGTCCATGAGTGATTGTTGCAAGGTAACTCTGTGATGTCCCTCATTCCCACAGGAAACTTCACTCCCTTTCAGGGAGTCCTGTTCCAATTCTGTCCAGCCAGTTCAACCTTTTCTGCAGTTGGACTTCCTTGTCCCCCATGCCAGGTAATTTCTTGGTCACAAGTTATCAATTCCGAGCAGCTACAGTTTGATTTTCCCCTTCACTCTACTGCTTATGCACACAGGCCCCCTAACTTGACCTCTTTTGCCAGATTTTCAGAGGATCAGCAAAATGGCAACTTTGTGGCAAAAGGCTGCTCTTCCAGCAGAGAATGAGGGCTTCTTTGAAATGTGGGGACGCTAGAACTATAACATCATCACAACCCTTGGCAGAAATTTCGACCTAGCATAGGCTGTAAATCCTTCACCAACTGAACAGTCATACCCTGGATACTTTCATGATTTATCATACTGCATCTTGTTCTGCCATTGGCACAAAACTGTCTCAACTCCATCACTGATATCATCTTGTTTCAAAGAAATATAGGGTCACAACTAGCAGACAAAAGAAAATCCAGTCCATAGCCCATTGCTCCTTGGAGTAAACTGATCCCACCACCACTGACGTGTTGATATATGTAACCCTCTTTTTGTTTTACAAATCACAACTTCTATTTTTGCATTTGAACAGTGTGCCAGAAAGTGAATTAATTAGTTTTTGAGATGAAATAAATTGACTAGGTGCGTGAAGTATGTTGGTCTCTTGTGAGATTGTTCTAAGCACAGGAAAGTTGTGGGGTTTTTTTTTAATCAATTAAATGTTTCAGTATATATGTTAATGTTAACAAGTGATGTTCCGTAGTGAAATGTAGTGTAGTCATCACTGAAGGATATCAGCTACTTTCTCTTTAGTGATTAAGGGAGCTGATAGTCTTGGCTTCAATGTTGTTGTGTCAACAATCCAAGATATACATCATTGTCAAAAATACAGTAATTGGAGGATCAAGACTTGTGAGAGCGCTGGTAATCTTTTTTTCTCTATTGACTTCAGCTAAGTACAAACCAAGTTGGCAACTTTTTTAACATTAGCTGTTATATCAGCTGAAGATGAAACCACCATTTCAACCCGAATGACTGAAGAACATTTTGTAGATAATATAATGGAACAAGAGTTGTGGAATTTTCAAAAAGAACATCTGCAAAAAATTGGGAATACGGACTTAAAATCAGATACCTGTAATATGTACAGCAGAAAGAAAGCTTTACAACAAGAAGCTTGATAATACTAAGTTCTCTGCTTATGTGGAGATAGAGACATATGTATTCTATAGCTAAAAAATTGCATTCTTCAAATGCTTTCTTTTCTTCATAGTTAGAGGGTATTTTTTCATACTGTTGCAAAACCTCTCAGTGTTTATCTGGATCATTCCGGTTAGAAGGAAGGTCTGCTTCCTTGAAATTAGTGCATTTGTTTCAGGTTTATTTTCAAGACAATTAATTCAAATACACAAATTTTAGCCTTGGGTGGGGCTTTTTTTTGTTTTATTTTGTTTGTTTTTTTAATATTACTTTTCTGCAACAAATTTACTTTTTTGTATCCAAGTTAATGCAATTGAAAGTGTTTGTCAGAAGTTTCAATGTCTTTAAATAAGTTACTGGCATGATGATCTATATGTACAAACATATATTTAATGAGAAAATTATAATTTTGGTACACCAAAAAATCAAACCTTCTTTCTAATAAGACACATGTCAGGTTGTCTAAGGTGAGTAAATACACTTTTCCTTGTGCTGGCCAATGAAACAACTGCTGTAGAGACAAGGTTACTCTGATTCTTACACCACTGTGATGGGTTTTACAGAGACCTTTTAATGATATGAACATAAAGGAAGTATCTTGAATCATCGCCATAAAACTGTGTATTTTGCTATAAAACTATAAACCAGTGAAATTAAGGCAATTAGGATGGTTTTGCTATCTATATTGTAATAAGGCAAGTACTGTAATAACAGTAGTGTACTTGGACTATAGCTTAATCATATTTCAAGGGGGGCAGCTAAATTCACACTTACAGAAAATTGGATGTGGCAAGTCCAGTATTTTACAAATTAAGATGTTCTCAAAGGGATGGGGAATAAACAAATGTTTTCAGGCAGTATTTAAAAAAAAAGTGCCAAAGTAATATACATACATATACAAGTCTGTATATATTTACAGTAATATAAGCATATACTTATGAATATATGTCTAGGGTAGAACAAAGGATGGCAAGGACACAGTACCATGGAAGTATTCTTCTCTCAGAAAAAAATATGCTGGCATTGTCTGTTTGCCAATGGGGTTTTGAAATCTTGAACTCAAAGTGTAAGATACTTAAATACTATAATTTTTTTTTTTTTTTCTGGCTGAAATCACTGCACAAATAGAGGAACAAAGGATATGTCCCAATGATTCTTCCAAAAGAGAGTATGAGAGAGTGTGAAGTCATTCACATAACATGCCAAACAAAAGTTAGGATGAGAAAAGGCTTATCAAGGTGTTCCTCAGCAAAATAATCTGTCCCCAGTGCTCTGCCTCCAATGCTTTGTCCAATGTGCTGACACTGGTAAACCAAAAGTCCAGTCACTACATTCTCCTTCATTCCAAGAAAGCTGAGTAAGAAGTTGGTGCTAGGTATTTTCTTTCTGTCATCTATGGGATTAGTATTTATTCTTGAACAGTTTGTTGGTTAACTGCTGCTGCAGTAAACAGTACTGCAGAGGGACTACAAAATATAGTTGATACTTCATAAAATAGTTGCTTTAGAAATATTTCTTGCTAGGCTTCTTAAAAAAAATTATTGGAAATGCAGGAAGGGAAGCTGGTCTGGGGAAGATTGGATAGTACAGTGAACCTTCTTCTTGGAAAACTCAGAAAAGGAACTGAGGGACTGAGCAAATTGCACTCATATCTTGAAGGTATCTGGAAATTAGACAAGAGCATGCTGCTAGGTACTAAGGCAGCTTGAAAACTGTACTAAATAAAAGCTTTCAGAGGACAGGGATTTTTATCCTAAACTGAATTAATTACAATAGTTTTAACAGATGAATTTTATTTTCAAAGGTGCAGTGATTGTCTCCAGGACTTGAACCCACTAAGACTTAAGGTATGTTATTTATAATTTCCATAGTAAAACAACTTGATCTGAGTACACCTTTTATTACTGTTTGAGTATATGTTGCAAGAGATTTAAAAATTAAATTATTTTTGGTCTTATGTTTTCAATTCTTAACATTTTTTTTTTTCTCTATATGGGAAAGTGGGATGTATGTATACTTTGTTCTTTTGGTTGGCAAGTGAGTCACAGGTCATACATGTCATCATTCTTAAATAGATGAAATAGCTTTAAAAATTATGAACTGGTAAGTATTGTTCTGTTTTCTGATTTATATTTGTAAATCATGACATCTGAAAGAGAAAGAAAAATACAATCTCTCTATGATTAAATTAATTTTTTCTCTACTGAGCCTTCATTTTGATCAATTGTGTATCAAAGGTCGTGTTCCTGTAACTCATCATTTGAGAACCTAGTCCTTACATTTTTATAAAATAAGGTGTTAGATCCAACACTGTGGATAAGAAGAAAGGAAAGGGGAAACGGGAAGGGAAGAAGAATTTACACTCTCAGAAATTAGTTAACAATTGAGAATGAGGCTATGTGAGGCTCTTAACTGGGCTTAAAACACAACAGTGGTTTAGTATTCTTCCTTCCTTCCTTCCTTCCTTCCTTCCTTCCTTCCTTCCTTCCTTCCTTCCTTCCTTCCTTCCTTCCTTCCTGCCTTCCTGCCTGCCTTCCTGCCTTCCTTCCTGCCTTCCTGCCTTCCTGCCTTCCTGCCTTCCTGCCTTCCTGCCTTCCTGCCTTCCTGCCTTCCTGCCTTCCTTCCTGCCTGCCTGCCTTCCTGCCTG